CTCTGTGTATGGAGTCCAGCCATTCCCAGGAGATGGGGGCAGTCCAGCCAGTCTCAAAACTCCAGGGCCACCAAATAGTGTGACAGGCATGGATGTCAACCGGGGGGCCTAGGCCCTCCCAGTCACCCAGCCCGACTGGGTAGGTGAAGGTCTGCATGGAGCTCCCAGCAGCTTGTATCTCCATCAGACTTGTGCTCCTCCAGAGCCCCACGGAAGGCTCTGGACAACGCATCTGTCCACCTCCACTTCCTCAGGCTGTCTGCAGAACCGGCTCTGGGATACCGGGGGCCGAGATCCAGCTGCAGATCAATGGGAGCTCACTGAGGGGACAGCAGCCCAGCCCAGGACTTCGTGGATCTAGGGCTGGGCGCTGACCCTGTCCTTAAGACTCTGCAGCAAGGCCACCACATCCGCATTCCCAGCTGCTTCAGCCTGTGGGGGGGAGAGGGATCTGTGGGGACTACCTGGATTCCAGCGCCCAGAAGCCCCAAAGCCCCGCCCACCAGGGCTGATGCCCCACCCCCACCCTGGGGACTGATAGGACACACCCCGTGGGTTGGGTTGATTCTGAAGAAAGTATGTCCCCAGGAGGGATAGACAGCGCCTGGTCCAGGATCTGAGGACCTTTAGGAGGCCTCCAGAATAGGGTACAAGAGGTAGCTACTCACTACTTGCAGAGCACAATGTCCATCATAGTCCAGCTGTTCCAGGTCAGCCCCAGCCTGCCACCATGCCCTCAGGCCTTCGCTGTCCGCCCTGGATGCCAGCCTGATGGGGGCAGGGAGGCAGAGGGAAGCTGTCAGAACCTGCTGGGCCCCTCAGCTGCCTACCTTCTGTGTGTGCCCCTCCCAGTGCCCTGGGCACTCTTACAAAGACTGCCCTAAACAGCTGATCCAGCAGCACCCAGCCCTGGGGCAGGAGTCCCAGCCGCAGGCGGCCTGGAGTCTAGTTTCACCTATGGGGTGTGACTGTGACTCAGGTCAAGGGCACAAGCACACACACACACACACACACACACACACACACACACACACACACGCATCTGTGAGCAAGCACACACCCACCCCCTGCCAGTTTCATATTTCACAACACAGACTTTGTGATGTGTCTGGCCTGTCTCAAGACAGAAGGAAATACCGACAGCCAGTAGCTATAGAAGGGAACCTGGGAGGTGCAGGGTCCAAGGTAGCCCTGAGCCCCAGGAGGCTGTAGGAGCATTCTGGCTGGGGGGAAACTCTGGGGGTCTCTTTCCCTGTAGAGGAAGGTTGGGGTGGACAGCCTTGTCCTTAGACAACGTTTCACTCTCCCATGCTCTGTGCTTCCACTCTGAGAGCCAGGCCCCACCCTGGGTAAGCTTCGGACAGAAGAGACACAAGTGTCCCTACGACTCCTTCCTGTTCAGGAAGCCACAGCTCCCGGGTGGCACTGTATAATTTCTGATGCGGATCATACTGGAAGCACCCCCTCTCCATTCACCTACACTGGTTCCCCACACCACAGCCCAGCCAACAGCTCAGGTTAGCCCAGCCAGCAGCTCAGGTTAGCCCAGCTAGCAGCTCAGGTTAGCCCAGCCCCAGTAAAGCAGGAGCCCTCCGGGATGGCTGCCTGTAGACCCAGCTGTGTCGTGTGCTGCCTCAGTTTCCCCATCTTTCACTGGAGCCAATAGGTCTGCCTGGGTGCAGTCCTGAACCAAGCTACCCCAGGAGACCCTTCAAAGCCACCCAAGGCCAGCTTCCATCCTCCTGGGCCTCCTTCCTCACCCCATTGCCTCTGTGAGCCACCCTTATCCCCCCATCGTTGGGGGGGAGGGCAGTAAACAGCACTTTCCTCCTGGGATGCTGCAGACCCGTGTAGGGGCCTGAGACTGGGGCTGGTACACTGAGGACGTCCCGACACATCAGTCTGGAGTCTCACGACAATTACCCTGGGCAGACGGACACACCGAGAGCCCCCAACCCCCATACCACCCATCGCCACAGCCCGGATCTGCGCTCCTCTTTGCCTCACGCCAACCAAGCCCACCACCACCCACGCACAGCCTTGCTGACTGTTCTGTGGGGTACTCCTGTGACTGGGTTTGAAGCGGGTACTTCTGTTAGCCAGGCCACCTGGGTGTGGGCTCTCCCTCCTCAGCCTCACCTGCCTGACCTGACCCTCCCAGCACCCCCATTGCCTTCCCGGACCCGAGACCATCACCCACAGATAGGGGTGCTCAGGCCATCACCTGCACAGCTCTGTTCCAACGTCCTCCAGCTCCTGGGGAGACAGGAAAGCCCCAGCGGCCCTCAGCAGCCCAATGACGCCCCGATGCCTGCCATGAAAAAGTGCTGATTGTCAGCGTGGCCCGGACCCTGCTGGCTTCATTCAGGCCTGGGGGTGGGAGGGCAGGGTCAAAAATGCCCATCCAGATACCCATAGCCTAATTCCAGACAAGGACTACCCCTTGGTCCTTTGCCCATCCTAGGGTGCCATCTCAAGGTCCGTGGCCTCCATTCACCCAAGGCACCTTCACAGGATACCCAGGGCCAGAGGCTGTCCCAAGTCACAGGGTGCTAGTCGACTGGATGAACGGCCCTTAGGCAAAACTGCACAGCCCAGGTGGTCTCCCTGCCCAGCTGGAAACAGCACCCCAGAAGACAGTCTCCTACCCTCAGCCAGTCAGCCTCCACTGGGTCACACACCTGAAGTGACCTCTCTGGTTAGGCCCAGGATAGGCTCTGGGGCAACCAAGTCAGTTGTGCCCCAACTCCGCCCTTGGATAAAGGGTGGGAATGAGCGATGGCACACAAACATGAAGAGTGAGG